ATAATATCGATAAAAGTAAGCTTCGGAGCCACCCAGGAAAAAACTCAAATATAATTCCTACCTAAACTGAAAAAGTTTAATGTCCCGTGTGCTCATTTGACCTTAAGCCCTATATAGTTGCGAGAACAGATTAACTCTTACCAAAGCAAAAAAAAAAAAAAAAAGAATGCATACACTTTTCGAGTCACAAAGCATTTATCCATGTTAATACAAATATGTCATGTCCCCATCGCTCTAATTCTGATAATTTAAGAAACGGGCTTCTTCGGTGGTGCTTTTCAAAACTCAGTAGTAACCTCAACAAACGAACAGAGATATTCGACAATATGGTACAAAGACAAGATATCTTCCCAAAGAGGGAATCGATCTCGAGTCTTTTACTTTCTAGTTTCACTTTGATTTTTAAAAACTCAAGTAGGGTAACTCTGTTCGCAAAGAGTGCGCTTTTGTGAAGAGGGCGCCACCAAATTTTGAGGACACTTTTTTAATTGGTTCAAAGAGAGAAGTGGCCCATCTTGTTATGTACTATCATTGTTGTCCTGGCTAACGTGGACTAAAAGGGATACAACATCCCCGTAGAACTGTCCCCGCGGTTTTATGAAAAAAAAATCTGAAATCATGCAAACTGAGCCCAAAATTTTGAAATTAAGCGATTCTCTTAATTTTAACAAAGAATGATGACGGAAAATGATCAGAAATTATGCAGAAATTGTCAAATTTTGCTATATTATGCGGGGTGCATAAAACCCCGGGGACAGGTAGAAAGACCGAGATACTCGATAAAAATTTCTCACCACAAGGGAATCGAACTCGGATCTCGTGTGTGCAACAGCCAAGCGCGCCTAACCACTACGCCCTAGGCGATCATCGCCTAGACTACGGTATCAACTGTCTGAAGAAAGCGGTCGCTACTTAAATTAAGACTGCCTCAGCGGTGCCACCAGTCAATACCGACAATCCTGTTGTCGCTCTTCAGTTCCCATAGCTTAATCAAAAACCCTAATACATGTACAAGTCTGAATGAAAAAGCATAGGCCTCTCATTAAATAAAAGGCCAATGTTTTTTGTTTTTCAATATTATCTTGACATACAGAAAATTAGCAGAAGTACGTCTGATCTTTTACTAGTGAAAAAGTAGTAACATTATTAATAAACGTTCATTCATCCAGTGCCAGAACTGCGGCAGAAATCGGGGACCATGGTTCTCCATTCATTCCTTAGTTCTGATGCTCTTAAAAAAAGCTACGTTTCCCTGAACTGTCCCCGTTACCCATGAGTTTAAGTTCCCTAAGTAGGTTGCTCTGGGCCTACCACCCCTGTCTCGTTTGCCTTCAGTTTTGCCAGTGGGAGCTAGGTATTCAAGACCTATTTTATGTCTATTCAGGTGTCCCAAAAACTGTATTTGTCGTTTCCTGGTTGTTTTTAACAGTGAGCATCCCACGTGGGAGTCATCAAATACTACCTCAGATGATTTCTTTTCCTTCCTCGATATTCTCAGTAATCTTCTAAGAAACCACATTTCTGTTGCTTCTATTTCATTTTCACTGTCTTTAGTGATTGTCCAGCATTCTCAGCCATATAGAAGGGTTGGACATACATAATGTTTCTGAACTTTCATTTTGGTAGTCATTGAGGCGTTTCTATTGTTCAGGATTGGCTCATTTTTATTAAAACTAACCTTAGCCATTGCATGTAGTAATAATAGTAATAATAATAATAATAATAATAATAATAATAATAATAATAATAATAATAATAATAATAATAATGATTAATAATAACAATAATAATAATGTATAGCGTGCATTACCACTAAGAATAAGAAGGTACCCTTAAATTATAATACAAAGAACATCGTTCCAATAGTGTTCCTCTCTCTCTCTCTCTCTCTCTCTCTCTCTCTCTCTCTCTCTCTCTCTCTCTCTCTCTCTCTCTCTCTTTCTCTCTCTCTCTTTCTCTCTCTCTCTATCTATCTATCTATCTATCTCTCTCTCTTTCTTTCTCTCTCTCTCTCTCTCTCTCTCTCTCTCTCTCTCTCTCTCTCTCTCTCTTTCTCTCTCTCTCTCTCTCTCTCTCATCATGTCTCTCTCTCGAAACGTCAGACTGTGAACAAGTATGTGAGTGAGCGGGAGTTTGAGAGTCGGTGAGAAAAAAAGGGGGGCGGAAGAGAGAGAGGGAGGGAGATGGAAAAAGAGGGGGGGAGAGAAAGACAGAGAGAGGGGGAGAGTGAAGGAAGGAGAGGGAGAGAGGGAGGGAGAGACAGACAGACAGAGACACAGAGAGAGAGAGAGAGAGAGAGAGAGAGAGAGAGAGAGAGAGAGAGAACTTGTTTTTGTTTTTGTAAAGTGTTTTACGGCGCTCGCGACTGCATAAAGTCATATGAGCGCGCGGGACACACCTAATATTTTCAGTTAGTAGGAAATTTTGAATTTTGCCCGGGTGGCGGCCGAAGCCTACTCTTATCGATTTTAGACCACCAAGGGATCTTTAACGTGCGCAACTTGCACACGGGCCCTCCGAGATTTTTCGCCCTTGTCCGAGAAGGCTAGGTGTAGATCTTTCCTACCAGAAGATCAGGGGTGTGAAAGACAGCAGTAAGGAGGAGCCAGGGAGTAGCAGTAGAAAGGCTGCATTAAGAGTCAGGAGCCCAGAGGAGGGGGCAAAGGAGGTGAGGGGGTGGGGGCAGAAAGTGGAAATGAAAGCAGACAATAGAACATTGCAAGAGAGCGGGAAGGAGGTCAAAGGAGACAATTTTAGAGAAGAAAAGTTTTTGGTCGCTACACGGATTCGAACCCGGGACCTTTGAATGAGAGGCCAACACCTTAACCTCTAGGCCACGAGAGCCCCCAGAGAGAGAACGAAAGAATGGTGAGAGGAGTTATAAAAAAAAGAAACTGGGGAGCAGAAAAGGTGAAAAGAAGGAGAGGGGAAGGACGGAAGGAAAAAAAAATAGGCAAGAGGAAGATGAGTAAAAGAAAGGCAGTGACAGACCAACTTAAAATTGATTTTAAAGTGCAGGCCTGCCATCCACCGAAGGTTTGCTGTGCCTCCATGGTACCTCTCTTATGTATAAGGGGGCAGTATCGAGAATATTCTATGGCGAGGTACAAAACATTATTCACCTCCCTTTGACTTTCAAACCCGGCACTTCCGAAGAGCCGAAGAGGTCTGTGGTTTTTCAGGGAAAGAAATTTATAATACATGTAGATGTAGATCTAGATCTAGATCTAGTAATAAAGTCAACTTTTCATTCTTTTTTTTTTTTTTATTCTAACGTCTCGCTTATCAAGTTGGATTTTTTTGGGGGGGTCAAGAGTTTCACAACTACATTGTTCCAGAGAGGAATTGCTGTTTAAAAAACTAAGTGCGTCCCATTGGTGTAGGTCACACGTACTGGGAATTTAAAACATAGGGCTTCGTTTTAGATCTATTAATTGGTCTTGTGATGCGATACTGACGATACCTTGCTTTTCTACTATTGGCTTTTCAAAACGGACATTTCATTTAAATTAACAAAAGAGCAATAGAGTGAAGAGATCGGCAGTGTTCTTACATTTTCCGTCGACAGTAATTTCTCTTTTAGTTTTAGTTTTAGTAAGAGTATTACGGCACTTGCAACACAATAAGGTCATATAAGTGCCGAAGATTAGAGGTGTTACAAGAGAGTAACAAACACGAAAAAGAAGAAGGGGAGAAGGACGATAGATGTTTGATAGGAAAGAAGGAGCAAAAAACAAAAAACAAAAAAACAGCACCCGCCAACCACCCACGTAATCTCTCTCTCTCTCTCTCTCTCTCTCTCTCTCTCTATCTATCTATCTATCTATCTATCTATCTATCTATCTATCTATTTTAATGAATTACTTACTCTTAAATGTCTTCTGCTTTCTCGTTATATTTTGTGTTTAAACAAATACACACACACACGCACACACACACACACACACACACACACACACACACACACACACACATACACGTACATGCACACACACGCACACACTTTTGGGCCTATATATATCGCGTGCGCACACAGCCACGCCAACCACAGGGGAAAAAATAGCCTAAAAAAGCACTCATAGGCCTACTGGGAAAAAAATCTAATTGATATAATAACGTCATGACTATATTTATTTATAAATCATTATGTAGTGTCCAACAATGTTTATTATACATGTAGTTATTTATTTGTGATTTTGCTAAAACAGTTCAGACGCTATTCTTATACGTATGACTACAGCGTTATTGCACTACGTTCCTTACAATTACAATCACATAGCCGCGTTCTTTTACTTTCGTGTGAAGTTGAATTTCAGGTAGACAAACCTTTGCCTAGCCTAGATCTAAACTGACTTCAGCAATCAGTTTAAACGGTGGTTAGCCTAACCTTGCTTGTTGCGATATGTTGATACTAAAAATAGATTTAAAAAAAAACAAAAACATTGTTGTTAGATCTACAGTGCAGCGGATCTACGGTCTCTGCTAGGACAATAAATAGTAGATCTAGAACGCTGTAGTGGAAGCAAGGTATAGGTAATTGGACTCGCAGTAATGAACGTCCGCTTCAGAACTTTGTCGCTCTACTTCGACAGATGTGTGGTCACCTCCTCTGGGTAGCCTAATTATTTTGATTGCTCTACGATTATCTAGAAGTCAAGGTCAACCTTAGCTTGCCTTATATCCTTATATGACCCCTCTATGACCCATATAAGTATCAGCACAGGTGTCATCAAACAAACCGTGGCCTGGGATAGCCTAGCCTAGTTCCGAGACCTTTGTGCCGGAGTTTGTATTCATGCACCACTTCCACACGTATGCATAAAACTATGTTATGTTCAAATCGTAAAAAAGATCCTTGAAATCTATTGCCACAATGTATATTTTTAAAATAGTCTGCGACTTAATTGTTTTATTACATAACTTTTAAAACATCAGACAACCTTTGTAGAACTTTTTTCTACTTCGGTTTTATTTCGGAGTAGTGTAATTCGGTTGTTTACCATTTACCAAAATAAACCTTGATTCGGCCATTGTTTTGGTTTGCAGCTTTCAGCTTACGAGATTTGTAAGTTGTTTTATATTACCGTCTGGTGGTTGATATTATTTATTGGGATATTTTTGTTTTGTTAAATGCTTGGACTGTCAGTTGTTAATCGTTTTAGGGAGATAATTGTCAGTCATTCCATGTACCAAGGACCAGACGAAAGTCCTCGTCTCACCAGAGCCAGCAGGGTCGCTTACTTTTGTATTGTGTCTGTTGTTGTACTCTCGTTTCTAGATCAAGAATGTAGTCTAGATCTAGATATCTAGACTGTTATGTGTTTTATTAGCGCTATTACGGTCATAATCTACCGAGAATTCAAATTAAAGGAACAAAGAACTGTCGTCATTTGACTTTCAGTTGATCAGAGCTTGTGGAGATACGAGACCTGGGGAGACAGTCTGCTATCAGTCACCACTTGCACACACACACACACACACACACACACAGAAACAGACCGACTCACATACAAACACACATGCGGATAACTTGAGAACGCCAGATGTACGCCACTGGCCGAAATTTATAGTAAAAGCTGTCTTGTTTGACGTCATTGAAGGGTTCCCACTGTGATGTCGTTCACGGAAGCAACACGACCGCAAAGCACTCTATAATAATTGCAGTATTTTTTTAGGAAGTGGCTATGGTGAGAATAGAAATATGATCGACCTCTCACCCCGGGTGAGACTTGCCACCGTAGGCTATTCTCACCCGGTGTGACACAAGACCTGTTTCTCCTAATTTCGGAATACTTTCTATCGATGTGGATGATCAAATGGATAAAGGCAAAGAAAAGATTACATTATAGCACAAAAGTAAGCTAATTTTATCGACTACAAAGATGCTATGGCTATTTCACTTTTCGAATTGAGCCGAACTACGGGGGGTCGCCATTTTGTTTTGCCCAGAAGTTCTCGCAAGATCTACTCGTCCCCTCTTCTCTCTCTCTATCTCTTTCTGAATACTGTCTATCGGTGTGGACGATCAAATTGACCAAAACAAAGTTTAAAAATTATGTTAAAACACAAAAGTAAATTAATTTAATCGTCTACAAAGATGCTACGGCTATTTAACTTTTCGAATCGAGCCGAACTACGCGGGTCGCCATTTTGTTTTGCCCAGAAGTTCTCGCAAGATCTACTCGTCCCCTCTTCTCTCTCTCTATCTCTTTCTGAATACTGTCTATCGGTGTGGACGATCAAATTGACCAAAACAAAGTTTAAAAATTATGTTAAAACACAAAAGTAAATTAATTTAATCGTCTACAAAGATGCTACGGCTATTTAACTTTTCGAATCGAGCCGAACTACGCGGGTCGCCATTTTGTTTTGCCCAGAAGTTCTCGCAAGATCTACTCGTCCCCTCTTCTCTCTCTCTATCTCTTTCTGAATACTGTCTATCGGTGTGGACGATCAAATTGACCAAAACAAAGTTTAAAAATTATGTTAAAACACAAAAGTAAATTAATTTAATCGTCTACAAAGATGCTACGGCTATTTAACTTTTCGAATCGAGCCAAACTACGCGGGTCGCCATTTTGTTTTGCCCGGAAGTTCTCGCGCTAGATTCTACTCCTCTCTCTCTCTTTCTCTCTCTCTCTCTCTCTCTCTCTCTCTCTCTCTCTCTCTCTCTCTCTCCACTGCCCACAGACAAAATTGTGCGCTTTTAGTAGGCTAACAGTAGTAATGAAACGTTTGTTCACGGCATAGAATTCTACAATTTTTCTGTTATCACAGTGTAGAATTCTGTGGTTCGGGGTGAACGCAAAATTGGTTGGCCTAGATCTAGGCTATAACGGTGAACGCGCACCGGGTGAGAATAGCCAAAAGACTCGCCTGCACTATTCTCACCCGGGGTGAGAATAGAGGTGGCCATTTTTTGAACCTGTAGCCTACAGACACTACAGTGGCGTGGTGGCGGAGTGGTTAGTGCGCTTCTAAAGCAGAAAGTCCAGGTCTGAGCCTCGGTTCAGCCAATACTGCAATAGTGCTTTGCGGTCGTGATGCCACCGTGAACGACAACAAAGTGGGAATCCCTCAATGACGTCAAACAAGATGGGTGTTAGTGTTACTATGAATATCGGCCAATGGCATACATCTGTCGTTCTCAAGTTATCCACTTGTTACAAACACTAAACACAAACCCAACACTGTTCAGGACTCGGGCAGTTGGAAAAGAGTGGTTGAGTGTATGCTGTAGGTCTCCACCACTCCAAATCAAGTCTCTGGCTTGGCCAAATCTCAGAAAGAATAGTGAAACCTATCTCTAATTCTTTCCATATTCTGAAATTTAAATTTTTTAGAAGCTTGAAATGAAGACTAAAGTGACGTAAGTATGCTGGGAGAGAAAGTACACTGAGGCCCATATATATGGTCTCACCTGCTGGCGGAATGGAAAATACTTTTATACAATAAATGTATATATTCATACCCTGACTTGCCATAAATATGCTGACTTATATATAATAAACTTTGATATTGATAGGCCTACAATATAATTAAACGAAGTGGCTATTCGGACTCGAGTCGCACAATGCGCATATGTCGTTCGGGGTGCCTATTGGGGGTTTGTGTCTGGTCGGAGCGGTTTGCTAGCCAGATTGAGGGCACAAAGTGGGTATCGTGATAAGCCGATCGCGCCTGACTAGTCGACTCAAAAACAAACTTTGACTGACTTTTGTTCCCTTTGGAAGGGTTTTAACTTTTCTTTTCTTAATGTCTGACTGGACTTCCAATTGATCAATGGTTTTGTCTTTCTCGTCATATAAAGTGGATTTAGACTATGTATTGATAGAGTTATAATAATCCTTTGTTGTTCTGACACTTTGGTTTTCAATTTTTTTCACTGCTTTGAGCTCAGATTGCCATTTCCCTGTTCACCTTTGCTGTGTAGTAGGTCTAAGCCCTATTTCCGATTTTGCATCTGTTGCTCACTTTTGACGTCACTAAATACTTTTCTTAATTTGTGTTGAAAATTTTGGCCAGATCGTAGAAACCGAGGAAGGCTGAGGTCGAATTGCCTGCCCGTTTCACATCTGGTACACCCGTTGATTGCGCACGCGCATTGGAGTTTTGAGTCCAAATAGCCACGGGAGGTTATTCAGACTAGAGTCCGAATAGCCGCTGCCATATTTAAAATTGTAAACGTAGTAAATTTCATTTGAAAAGGTGTAACCGTTACATCTGAGATCAAATCTGGTAGCAGCTCAATTGGAAGGACTTATGTAACAAGCTACCAAGCACTACTATGAAATTTAGATTATATTCCACTCTAACCCTAACCTGAAAACCCTGACCCTCCCTAACCTGTCCCTTATCTAGGGAAACGAGGCCCCTGAACACCCCCCTTCCCCACCCTCCCCGTTGGATAGATGAAAATTATAAAGTTTTAAAAAAGATTCTGATAGTCATTAGTTATTATAAAGATTTCATTGTGGCCGCTCGTGAAGGAATTCCTCCTGTTCAATAAGTAAGGTCTAGGCTACACAGTTACAGTACAAAGGGCAACCACCAGTGTCAAGCATTAAAGTTACATTGTCAACACAGGACCCAGAACTTGTTCTTAATTTCCTGAGCCAAAAGCAAACTGAAAGGGAAAGAGATAAAACTGCATTGTCAATCATTTGGGGAAAAAAACAGTACTGTTTTTTCCCGCGGGTATACCAAAGCAGATAATGGTATATTATTTTACTTTCACTCCCATCTCATGCTCAGGTATTGCGCAGCACTTTTCTTGTTATTTTACATTCATTTTGGCTTTGCATCGGTTGCAGTTGATTAGTTTTTTACATATATTTCATAATTTTTATTGGAATTATAGTACACTATCTATGGCTTAGTATTTATTTCACTTCTTTTTTTTAAATTTGGTGGTTTCAGGAAGAGGGGAGGGGGTGGGGGCGGAGTTGGCACACGTGAGAATCAAGGCTCATTATTTCAATGTTTTACTGCTTAACTCTGCATTGTTTCGACCATTGTTGAAAGCCTCAAAGTAATAATAAATTCATTAGGGAGCAAATTACAGAACTTGGCAACATAATAAACCTGAATCCTTTTCTGAGTGCAGCTTTAATTAATAATGTCTGCCCAGCAAATGATGTCTGATCTGGAGTGAGCTAGTAACAGGATCCCCTCCAGCTCTTGAAATCGGGAAGAAGTCGAGAATTTTGCGATAAAAAGTCCGGGGGGGGGGGGGGGGGGGGGGGGAGATAGGGCTTGTGTGATATTAGTAGTGTAGCTATCTTGACAGTATAGATGATGAATCATGAAGAAGAAACACAATTGAACCGCCATGGCAGCAGGCGAAAGTGTATACCGAGGCTCAATCAGGAAGAATCAAGATCTGCTTTCAATTTCGTTACCACCCAGAAATGTTCCGGTTATGTAACATGCCCCTGGAAAATGGAGAAGCTGGATTGGCAGTCACCCAGTATTGTAGTCATCTATTGTTTGAAGACTATACTACAAAATGTACATTTGCATTCATTTAAAGACATTTTGACTTTTTATCATTGATAGGTGGGCTTTATGGGGGATCGTTATTGACGCTCAACCGCCTTATTTTTCCCTCGAATTGGGGTCTTGAAAAAATTTCCAGGATTTGGTGGGGACCCTGTAGTAAACTTTATGTAAAAAAGAGAATTGACAGTAGTCATTTTTACAGATTTCCCAATTCTACAGTAAGTTGAGCTTGTTTGTGCAAGAACTTGTATGACTTTCGGTTTATTCACATTGTTTGAGGTTCTTGTATAGTTTCACATTCAATTTTTCTTTTGCAGACTTCAAAATGAATATGAGAACACCTCAGTCGTTACTAAATGAAGACGATCCTAATATTGTGAATATGCCAAGTCAAGACGTCGACTTTTCTGAGTACATGTGGATGGAAGAAATGGACGAGTTTGATCGTCAGGTAGCTGAAATTTAACAGATTGTTTGGTTTTGTTGTTTGTTGTTCGCTATGGTAATTTATTCTTTGTTTCTTTTTTTCTATAGCAAGTGAAGAGGGAATTATTTTCAGGAAAAACTATTGTTTGTTTTTTTTGCTTTTAAAGTGAGATTTTAAAACCTTTTTTTATGATTCCTTTAATTTCAATGGACAGAAGTAGGCTCGATGCTTACAAGTGTCTCTGCCATTCTACAGGAAAGGCAAAATTGTATTTGAGATTAAGTTTTTTCCTTCTTTGCTGATTAAACTGTGGTTCTATAGTCGTTTCACCTTGTGTAAGCCTACGTGATGTTCTTTTCTTTGCTGTCTGTCTGCCAGTCTGCCATTGTGTCAACAAAGAATATTTTTTGTCTTGCTTTTCTTGAACAAAGATACAGTTTGAATTAAGTTAATTATTTTCATCTCTTCAGGTGCAAGAAGAGCTACAGGAACAAGAAATGATTGAAGAATGTTTCGAGGATCTCTATGAAATGGAACGGCTTGCTAGTGAAATCCTGTCTAGTTCCCCTGTTGAAAATGATTTTATCACGTTTGACTCTGCCCATGCTGGTATGAGAACAAATGGCATGGCCCATGGATGGCAGGACCATTCATTATCGTCCACTCCTTCCACTGAGGTGAGGTATTCATTATCAGTATATGTCTCTGCTTTGTATGTGAGTGATTGAAGCACCCCATCGAAAGGTTTTACTGCACTACTTCATTTCTATTAGCTTAGATACTTTCAACATATATTTATCACTGCAAGCAGTTAAAATGTACTATGCCCAGATAGCAAAACTTAATTGTTGGTTTCATTTGAAAAAACAGCATTTAGTCATATATCAGCTCTTTCAAATGGAAGATGGCATAACTATGTGATCATATTTTTAAAAAGTATGGCCTATGGAAATATAAACCTTTTGACCGCACAGGGGCAAGGAACCACATTTATATGTAGCTGTATCCAGTTTAACCTTCAAAGTCTGCTGGTGGATGGTTGACGGGTACACTGGTGTGGTTTGCTCCTTCTTTCCTACCAAACATCTATCATCCTGATCTCTCCTCTTTCTTTTTTCTGTTTGTTGCTCTCTTGTAACACCTCTAATCTTCTGCGCGTATACGGCCTTATTGTGTTGCAAGTGCTGTAAAACTCTACTAAAACAAAAAGTCTGCTGTCGTGGGTGGTTGGCAGTGCTCTAGTATGGCTTGCTCCTTTCCTCCAAAATATTTATCGTCTTGATCTTTCCTTCCTCCTCCTTTTATTTGTTTACTTTCTAGTAACAACGCTAATCTTTTGCACTCATATTCTTATGAGGCAATCCGATGAAATCAGGCGCTTCTCAAAACAATGAAATGAAAGAAACTGGCCTTTTTCTTGGGAGTCAGGCAGGTTGGGGGGTTTTTTCTGTTTTTTTACGTCCTTTTAAAAACGCGTTTATTTTGTGTGAATATTACTGGAAAAAATTGTAATTTTTCAGTTTCCAAGCTTTGGAAGTCACCAAAATTTGGTGGCCATTTTGTTGCTAATTCTATCTATGAAATCGGGCAACCCCCACCTTTTTCAATCCCAAATGGCTTCTATTCAAGATAGATGGGCAATTTTTTTTCATCAAAAGCATGGCAAATGAACAGGCTTTATGATTATTTCCAATATCTCCATATGCCCAAAAATTGACGAGTGCCCAATTCTACCGCGTTGCAACACGTATTACCCATTTATTTTGCAAGTATCATAAAACTCTTTCTTTAACTGAAAAGATAAAAAGTTTGCTGAGAGTATTCTTTCTCAGATTAACAAAAAGCATTGTCCTCTTCAGCCATGGTATTTGTCTTTTGTATTCTTTCAGGTCACCATTGTTTCCAGCAAGCTGAATCCACTGGCTCCTGAATTTTATCCCAGAGGGCAGTGCTAGCATTCTTCACTGTGCGTGTTAGTTCTAATCTATTTGTTCCTACTTCAAGTGCTGGCTGGGAGTATTATCACTGACTTGGTCCACACTGCCTCAACTACTTGCTCTATGTTGTCTTGTTGACTACTGACCTTATTGCAAATCCTGAAAGCTCACAAACACATGCATGAAATGTATGAATGCCTTTTTTAACATAGGGTAACTCTTTTTATTTTCATCGTGATGAGAAAGGGTTTAATGTGTGCTTTTTTTTTTAGCGCTTTTTGTTCATGAAGTGTTTCCCTCCCCTCCCCCGAAAAAAAAAGCTTTCTAAATGTTCGAATGTTGTTCTAAAACAAAAAAAAAGTTTTTGCTTTTATAGCTCACTTTGATGCTTCAAAATGGGAGCAATGTATTTAAATACTAAATGTTGCACATGTCTTACGATTAAGAATAGGTGGTGAACTGAATTTTTTATGAGGTTACAAACATTTGGAATTTTTTTTTTTATGAATAGCAAAATTTTTATGAATAAAAAAAACTTTGATGATGAAAATTGGTACTTTACCTATCTTTGATCCCTTGAGTTGTGAAACTGTTGCCTTCGATGTTCCGTTCTGGGCTCAACGCACCACTTAATTTGTCTTTTTAAGTTTCTTTACTCAAATGTCTTTAGTTCTATCATTTTGGACAAGAAGTTGATGATGATTGATGAGTTTTTTCTTTGCAGTTTGTGTTTGGGATTGTTGCTTGTTATGTCAGTGATGTTTGCTGCTGAGTATTTGTAATATTATTCCATTCAGTTTGATTGTGTTCATGTCTATTTCCATATATGTGTTTTATGTGTTCAAACTTGTGAAAGATGAAGCGGAATCTGCTGACGCACATGTATTGCATTTTTTAAAGTGTTGTTGAGAGTTCCACATAGTCTGAGGGTATATTGTGCTATGGTTTTTGTTTTGTTTTTGGAGGTCAAAAGCAAAGTGAGCTGGCTTTTGCTTTCGCTATGAATGTCTGTTGATCTTTTACGGATTCTTTCAGAGGGTGCCAGTCTGTCTATGTAAGTGTGAGAGTGAATTTGATTGTCAGTGAATGAGTTTTGTGAAAAAAAGACTCATAATATTGACTCGTTGGAAACATTCAGTTTTTATCCTGTGAGGATACAATTTCCGTAAATTTATATTTATACTTTTTCAGAAACGGTTAGTATAGTTGGTTTATTTAATTAGCACTATTTATGAGCTGTGAGAATCTTGTTGTGTATTTCATGACTCTGACTTAAGGTACAGTGAAATTCTGTATATATTGTTTTGTGTAGTCCATTAACCCTATCCGTACGCCCTGGGGTCATTTTGTACCCCCAGGTTGTTTTCTTCACATTTTAAAATACTTCTAGTACGAAGATCTCTTTGAAACTTTCAGTATTTCTCAAAAAATCATTTTGACAGACTGCTGTGCAAAGCGTACAGATCTGATTAACGAGTAAGTTTCCTCTTTGAAAAGTGGTGGCTCAGAGTTCCCCACATCGTATTGATACGATAGTAAAACACATGACGTACGGATAGGGTTAAAATTAGATAGTCATCCTAAAAGATTAGGATCACCCTGAACTGAAGCAAAGGAAATTATTGAGTTTTATTATTGACCTTTTGTGATAAATTGAGAAGTTTATATTATCTGCTTATATAATCTGATATTGTTGCCAGTAACTTTATCCACTTGAAAGTACTATTAAAAGAACTTTAGAAAAAATTATGAAAATCAAAACTTGACAGTGCTTGGAAAGTTATTTTTGGTCACATTCAGTGAACATCACCCAAATTTGCATTGAATGAATGTAGGCAGGATTAATGTGTCATGGTGCTAGGTCAGGGCAGGCTAGAGTCCCCCTGTATTCTGAAATTATAGGTATGGATGGTGTGTTCTGATGGACTATTTCTTTTCATTTTGAGTGAAAGGTGTGTCCAAGATTCACTTAATAGTTTCTGAATGTGTGGAGTTTGCTTTGTGGGATCAAGTCTGGAGATGTGCCTTGTGTCTGGGTCTCTGTGCCTGTGGTGTGTCTGCTTGTGCTACGGATAATAGTGCCGTTGTGCTGATTATCTTAGGATAAATATGTCCCAAACTGTGATGTAACTTGTTGTCATGTTGCCGCCAAAAACTTTGATTTTTGTAAACGCAGTTGACACTGTCTTACACATGTATATGTCTTGTGCGTCTTTCTTTGTTCAGAGATTGTTTTAAAGTTTGCCGACTAGTGAAATTCCAGTCTGTAGGCTGTTTCAAATAATCATGGAATTGAAAGATGGCTAGTGGGTAGTTGGCGGGTGCTCTGGTGTGGTTTGCTTCTTCTTTCCTATCAAATATCTATCGTCCTTATCTCCCCTTCTTCTTTTTCATGTTTGTTACTCTCTTGTAACACCTCTAATCTTCTGGCGCTCATATGACTTTATGCAGTTGAGAGCACCGTAAAACCTCTACTAAAACTTTTAAAAAACTGAAAGATGGCTAGTGCAATTTGTTAATCCTGGTCGTAAGTTTCATCTCAATGGTTATCGTATAGTATAGTGGAAAAGGGTAAGCTGTTCAATGTTAATGTTTGTTTTCTCTTTTGACAAAACAGATAAAAGTATTGAGGCAGTGGCTCGTTTTTATTATACTATAACTTTTGCTTTGTTGATTATATTGTAATGAGCCATGTCTAAGGTAAAAATGCTTTTCTTATTTCTAAGTCGTGGGCGCTCGGTAGAAGTAGAAGACAATGGGCGCACGGTAGAAGACAAATGTGTGAAAGTGTGACGTACACTGAAATAGTCTGTCTTAATTGCTGGCTGCAATGGCCAGTCAGCCTAAGCTCAGGACATATTTCTCTTTTAAATAACTCTCCCTTTGCTCCTATTTTTTTCCCCATTTTTCTGTGGCTTAAGCCCATACTTATTTACAGTAAATATTATAATTTTTACTCATTTTTCTTAGCAGTTATAATCCTAAATTTAGAGAAAAAAAATCTTTTCGTGACTTTTGTTTTCCAGTGCTTTTGGTATTGCTTTAGCATTGTTTCAGGACATAGCTTTTTAATTTTTTAAACAATTCAATTGACAGTATTGTGTGATGTAATTTTGCTTTGGGATGTTCAGTGCATTCAAGATTTAATTTTTTTTTTTTTTAGACCAGTTGTAGATACTGTACAGGATTCACTTGTTATCTGCACTTGCGTTTGGTATTGTGCAAGCAGGAGACAGCACTGGGTCCACTGAATCATGTAGTCTCTTGTTCATATACTGGTTTTTCTCGATATAATTTAAGCCGCCTCACACTCACAATTGTGGTTTTGTTGAACTTGTGTCTTAGTTTAGGTGGATCATTTGACTTTTTTTGTGTGTGTTGTTGTGTAGGTTTATAATACATTGACATTTTGTGTTTATTTTAATCTTATATGACAGCCAAGTGCAGTACAACATGGATAGCTTGAATTTGCCGGAACTGGCCTCAGTAGTTTGAGGGATCCATAGTTCGAGGGCTATCGTAAAAAGATAAAGAAGAAGAAAAAACTGAACAGCAGGCACAGTTCGACAGTTGTGTAATTTCAAGTCTTCTGTGTTCGACCTATCCATGTTATACTGTATTTGTCAAAGTCTTAAGGAAAGGCTGACTTTAACTGATGTAATGTATATGCTGTTTTTGTTTTGAGTAGGGAAGTATGTGGAGGCTGTGGTTCTTGTTTTGTTTTTACTATTTCTGCCATCAGTGATTGCAGTATTACTTTTTACCTTTTAATTCTGTTTAGTGTAGTGTTTGCTTGGCTTTGTGTTTGGGGGTTTCCTTTGAATTGACTGATTTTCTTTCTTGGAGTTTCCATTTTTTTTAAATATAAAGAGTAAGTTGATCATTTCTGCCATGTCTCAAGTGGCTTAAAATTAAAGCTTCAGACACATCACAGTGACTAACGTATGAAAATTTCAGAAATGTTTCCTCAGATGCTGTTCGAGAAGATGACTCTTTTATATTCTTTTATTGCTTTGAAAACTCTTGTGCCACCTTTTGCCTTTTATGAATACACTTATATTGCTCAGTTGAAGAAATAAGCTGTTGGAATGAGGGGTGCACATCTGAAGCGCCACAAACTTGAGTACAGTACTCTTGATGCGGTCATAAGATCTTGAGGGCCTCCAAATTTGCTTTCTGTTCAAAGTAGGCCACCAAAAAAATTATCCATTATGTTGGAATGACACCCTGGACTTAGATGTAGTTTTGTCATCATGCTTATTTTTTTTATTTTACGCTCAGCCTGTGAACTCATTGCATACGTTCAAGCTGCTTTTCGTCGTACAGGTTTGCAGTCGGAGATCATGATATTATACTTTAGAATTGTGTTATTATTAGGATCCAGTGATAAGAATAAGTACAAAAATGGCACAAGATGTGTTGTTATCTCCTATACCAATTTGTTTCTACTCACATGCAATACTATTTTCACTTTTTCCTGTGTGCTCTGTCATGGAGTGGAAATTTGGTTATCAATTCAGGGTGACAATTAGTCTTGTTGCCTGTTTCAACATTCTGCAAGTTTTGACATGATTTTGAAGTCACAAAATGTCCCATACATATTTACTTCATGTATCTTTGTATTTCGCTGTGCTGTTTCGGTCTTTTCTCTTATATTGGCACTAAATTCTTAACAATAAGCAAAGATAAGCATATGCATCAAGCATTGCCGAAAAATCACCTCTGACAATCTCCATTTAGTATTTAGATGAAGCAGGCAATAGTGAGCTGAAGTGTTGCTTTTGGAGATGACATGGAATTTGATAGGACATTATTCCCATTAGCATGCTGTTTGAAATTTGAGAATTAATTGTGAGGCCACCTACATATATGCACCAAAGTAGCAAATGGTCAAACTCTTAAATTCTGATGTCAAGTTTCATGGGTACAAGTAAAACAAGCAATAGAGACTAAGGTCTGATTTTAACTATGTCTTGATCAAAGAACAATACAGTTTCTTCCTACTGATAATTATTCTTTGTTTTGCTGTCGCATCATGTTTGCATGTGTATCGAAATTTCCTGTTTGAAAACTCATTATGCCGTACAAGTAGTGCCCCAGGGCCACGCTACAAGGGTGTGTCTTCAACAAAGCTTGACCTCCAAAATTTTAGAATTTAAGTACCTCAAAGTGAGAAGGTGGACTGTAACAAGTAACATGCTAATTGAGAGTGCACTTGCCAAATTTACTCGCTCACAAAGAGCCCTGTAAGTCAGTTTGAAAAAAGTCGCTCCATATCAAGCAAGACTTGTGCTCTTAACTTCCGTCTGGTGACTTCACAATCCTAGAGATTTGCTCAAATCAATATTCTTTAAATTAATTACTTCCCTTCTATTTTTAATCATTGTAAAGTTGTCAATCATTTTTCTTTGCTTGAAAACGTCAGTTATTTTTTTTAATAAGTGGTTATTTTATCAAATCAAGATAACACGATGTTTGGGATCTCGTTTGCATGCATGTCTAAGCACTTCCAGCAGACTGTGTGGTTTCTGTATGTCAGGAGTTCAGTGTTTTAGTTGTAGTTTTCCTCCCACAAGAAAGTAAGCCTTTCTCTTCTGATTGCTTAATTAAGAGGAAATGCATTTATGGTTGAAATATTTTGTAGGAGGGCTCAATGTATGTTCTTTTGTGGTTGAAGGGAGAATATTGTTATAATAAGTCTTGACATTGTGAAAATGCATCTTGTAATACTTGTATTGGATGTGAGACAAAGATGCGTTGTGCTTGATGTCAGTGGTTTTGTGATCTGAATGAATCTGGAAGAAATACTTATATATATATATGACTTACCTGGAATGTGTGTTGGTGAATGAAAAAAATTTATGATATGTTACATTGTTCGTAATATTGTGACTTATGGGAAGAAGAATGTACTCTGTGTGATTTGTATGCGTCTACTTGAAAAAAAAAAATGACATATGGTGGCAGAAAGTGAAATCTCCAGTTTTAGCATTTACTTTGTTTTGCAGTTTGAAAATAAATTTTGAATTTTATTATTGTTGTGTTTGCTTTTTTCCATCAGGGAAATCAAAGTAGATCTATTCTGAAATTTTAAAATCCTTGTTTCTTGGAATGTAGATCATTTTCATCTCTTAAGGGTCATTCCACCCCCACCCCTTCCCCCTCCCTCCCTCCCTCCCTCCCTCTCCTTCTCCCTCTCCCTCTCCCTCTCTCTCTCTCTCTCTCTCTCTCTCTCTCTCTCTCTCTCTCTCTCTCTCTCTCTCTCTGTGTAGTTCTCACACATATTTACCAGCGCACACTCACACACACACACATCGATGCACACAAACCGCATACCCATTCACACACACACACACACCTATATTTATATATATATATATAGATCGTGAGTGGTTGGTGGGTGCACTGGTGTGATTTGCTCCTTCTTTCACATCAAACATCTATTGTCTCTATCTCTCCTCCTATTCTTTGTATGTTACTCTCAAGTAGCACCTCTAATCGCCGGCTCTTGTATGACTTTTGTGTTACAGTTACACGTGCCTCAAAACTGTTACTAAAACTATACGTAACTAAAGATCTATAGAAAGATCTTCAGCAGAGACACACTGGTTAATTACAAATTGCCTGACTAAATATCTACTGGGGGGGGGGGGGCAACAGACGCTGTGTTGGGAAATGCACAAATGCGTTGGAAATACCATTGACTCACAATTTCACATTATAACAACACGATCAATGCAGCACTAATAGGCAAGAGGAGAAGTCGTCTCACATACAATACTTTCCCCCTAAAGGGAAACGAAAATATTTTTTTAAACCTGCTCTTTTTTTTAAAAAGTTAATCCTAATGATTATTCTTTACACACATCCATTCAGTGTGGCTAGGAGTTTTTAAGAGCCAATTCGCTTTTATTCCCCCTTCTTTCAATTTCAAAAACCTGGCAAGCTGTTGGAAAGAGAATAATACAGTAATTTCCATCCACGATAAGCCGTTGGCTCACTTGTCCGGCACAAAATCGCATGAGTAGTCATTTAGATTTTTATCAAAACCTGGAATGTAATTTATCTCCGTCCCTCAATCTTATTTTGAATTGTAACAGAAAAAACATAGGACACAGTGCAATGTCAGTGAAATAAGTAAAATATGATGACCAGTACTAGGGGACAGTGGATTAGAACGTAAAACCGGATAAAAAGAAAAAGAAATTTGTAACAGAACTCCCCCCTTCCCCTTCTCCCCCCCCCCCCCTCTCTCTCTCTCTCTCTCTCTCTCTCTCTCTCTCTCTCTCTCTCTCTCTCTCTCTCTCTCTCTCTCTCTCTCTCTCTCTCTCTCTCTCTCTCTCTCTCTCTCTCTCTCTCTCTCTCTCTCTCTGGACAGAACAAGCACTTTTACTTTTTTACAGTGAGCATGAAACAGACAAGGCATCCCAGCATAGCATTCGAGCAGGAAAAGAAAATACATGATAATATAATGATCATAGAAACTTGCTCCTGACGGCGGCACAAAGGAAGACATCATGAACAGACTCGGGAAGGCAAGATCTGTACACAGAAGAATGATCAACATCTGGAAGTCAGGACAGTTTAGTATACAGACCAAGTTAAAGCTGTATAACAGATGTGTACTGTCCACACTCCTATGTGGAACTGAATGCTGGAGGATGACTGATCATGGCCGTGCCAAGCTGTCTTCCTTTCATACAACCAGCTTACGCCAAATCCTCCAAATCTTCTGGCCCGACAAGATTTCCAACGCAGATCTTTTACGAAAATGTAGAAAAGAGGACATGACCTCTATAATTTAAAAAAAGGAGAAGATGGAGATGGGTTCGATATGTTCTGAGAAGAGAGCCAGATTCTATTGAGAAGACTGCCCTCCACTAGACACCCGAAGGACATCGCAAAATGACCTGGAGACGCACAGTAGAGTCTGAAATGAAGTCCAGGAACCATTCGTGGAGGATGTTGACTAAGATGGCCAAAAACAAACAGAGCTGGAGATCATTTGTTGCTGCCCTAAACGCCAGATGGCGTAACGGGTACTAATAAACTAGCTCTTTTGGAAGACAACTTGGACAAAACCTCATTAAAGCCTACAGCAAAGATGATAAGTGTAGAGAAGACCAAATTAATCACCAATAACATCAAAATCATGTATGTATTGGCATTAGCATGGGCATCGGGTTGAACGACACGGTGTTGTACAGTCCACAGCTTTATAGGTACTCCTGGGTAGCGTTACCTGATCATACGGGGTGCCCACTACGGCTGGATCGGGCCGATCGTCCGACTCTATCGTCTGAAACTGAAAACAAACATGCAGTAGGCACCCCGTATTAGACAAAGATCCTGCACTACAATATGGTTGAGTTTGGGCAATTAATTTTTAAAAAATAGCGTCCTCAAATTCGCCGTGGTGCAATCTGATTTGCGCGAACGTGGACGCTTTAAAAAAAAAGCTGAGTCTGTAAGTTGGATGGGATCTTTGACTTGATAAAGAGACCATAAGGGATTGCACAAACAACATTAATGACATTGACGAAACTGTAATACGGGGTGCCCATTACGGATCGGATCGGCCCCGATCACCCGATCGACTCTTGTCACCATGAAAACGAACGCGCCCGACCCGCCGTAATAGGCACCCTTGTACATATAAACAAAATATTTTGGAAAGACAAAAATATCGCACTCGGCTCACTGGTAACTGAACAATGCCGCGCTCCCTGACATATTATTTTGGATACCAGTATCCTTGTGAGCCTACGCTGCGACTGTAGGCCATGCTGCACGACTGCAGGGACACTTACAACAGACATTGGGACAAGGATGGGATGCTTTCGTAAACCCCCAGAGGTCCCATAAGAAGACCATTATAATTATGTTGCACCACTGGTGAAGTGGAAAGTAGAATCAGTGATCCAGAAAGCCAACAGACCATGATTTCAGAAGATCCCCGGCGACAGTGAAGCAAAAATAGACTTGAAGGCGAAAGGAAGGCCAAGAAAACGATCATGGGTCGTATGGATTAAAGACCCTTCAAAGACATCGTTATGCCAGTTGTGTGTTTTTGGCAATTGGCATATGCCCGACAATTGCATATCTTCGAACGACACCTCGCGGTAAAAAGAGGACAGTAGTAAAGGTTAAAAAAAAGGAAAAGTAAGGAAAGTTAAGCAACGCAAACTTGTAGTATTGGACACGCGGTGGTGTAAAAAAAAAAAGGGGGGGGGGTGTATGACACTACAGTCATAAAAGGCACACTTAATATAATAATGAGAGGGTAACATCGTGTCTCCGCGGTACCATCCTTGCATTGTCAAGGACAAACCTGAGGATGGGCTGCACACTGAGTGGGGGGAGGGGGGGGGGGAGGAGGTGGTTGTGAGAGTTGGTTGCCATTAAGTTGATGGTGGCTGTGGTGCCCTTTGGCAATACGTGTCAATAAATATGGCACAAAAATAATGTAAACGAAGTTGAATAAAACCACTGTTTTCAAGGTAACCACATTTCAGAAGACAGACGACGTAGAAAGCAAGACAAAGGATTTTGAAGAGCATTTACATGTAATTGATAGGCCTAAAGGTGAGCATTATTGTAGGCAGAAATTAAGGTTATATGCAGGCTACTGTTTACGGATAACAACTCAAGCTCAAAGTCAAAATATGTAAATTGTTTGTTCTAAGACTAGACTAAGATGAGGGACGGAGGTGTAAATATAATTAAAATTTCAATTATTATACAGCAGAATCAAATGGGATTGTGGTTTTTGGTAGGAAAAGGACTGCGCAAAACAATTCATAATACACGGAGAGCATTATGTGGCATTATGCTCTTGATCTATACCACTACATATTGTGTCATATGAAGTAGCCTACGCGTAGGCCTATTGCTGTTGCAGCCTAGCAGTCTAGCAGTAGCCGACTGGTCTTACGTAGGCCCCAAGGAGATTTGTTCTAGGCCCTAGGCCAAGCTCCTTGGTAGGCCCCAGCCTAGCCGAAAAAGTAGACTTCTTCTGGATCGTGTATTGAATTGTTAGGCCTAGCCAATAATTGTGTCTTCAACAGGAAGAAAGTAGAAAGTAATTACCACTACAATTGTGAATATAGACAATAAGCATAGGCAGGAATAAGTGTCTAGGCTATTTAGACACTAGATACCCTAAACTCAACATGAGAGCTTATTGCCAATTTGACCGTGTACCATGTATTTTCTAAAAAATGCATTTTGTGTTTTTTAAAAGGGTTTATTGGCAATGAAAGTACGTATTTTGTCATTTTAACATCAGAAATAGACTATTTCAATGCTTACAGCTTTTACTAGCTTTTATACTGACACCCAGAAAACATTTTGCGTTGTAAAATATACCAGTAGAAAAAAATCTGGGCAGTGTGACAAATCGCAAGCATGGCTTCAGGAATGCCCATCATCGTGTTGAGTAAGTACCGGTTATTAGAAGTAAAATTAGAACTTATTAACGTTTTGTTTTAGTTCTTTATGCTACTGAAATGTTCCTTTATTTTTCAGATCAAAACACAAAACGTGAATCTGGAAGAAAGGTTCAGATAGGAAATATCGATGCAGGAAAGGTGAGTCCACTCGTTGTTTTGTATGGCAACGCCATTGCCGACATGATTGAACGTAACCTCCTCTCTGGAACATTCTAAACTCCACCTTTTCAATGAAACGACCTGAAACGTAGTTTTTTTCATGTCTTGACTATCCCATATCGCTTAAACAGCTTACGTCTTCCATTAAAAGTATTGTAGTTATTTTTATGAATCCCTCGGTGTATGGAAAATGCTTTTGGTAGAATTTTATAGATAAAAAATGCTGGCTTTATCATACTTTTTTATGGCTCAGTAAATGAACATGGGTCTCAAATATTCCGCTAGGCTTACCTTCCACTATTAGATTCTAGCAGATTTCCGCGATCTAAATCTTCAGCTATTTTCTCTGCTGCAGCTTATGCGCCACCACTTTCTATAAACATAATCAAGATTGTATATGTTTGGTAAGTGTGACTCTCTTACTTGAAAGGGAGTGTATACAGACCCGGTAACCGCAAAGTCACAAAGTATATAGACCCGGTAGGGGAACTCTTTTGTGATTTCGGAAAGTTTCAGCGCCCTCTTGGCTCAGGGTAGACCTAGATATCTAGGTTCTTCTAGATCTATGGCCTAGTTTCGAGGCTAGCCTAGATCTAGATCTAGATCTAAATGAAGATTGCGGATGTCTTTTCAACGAACGATCGTTTTTCCTCCGTTTTGGAGTAGGAGGAATTACAATTTGAAGAAAAGAACGTCTTAATTTCAATCGAGCAGTCACCCCCCCCCCACCCCCACATACTTAAGTACGGCTAGCCACTTCGTTTAAAAAATTCTAAGTTGAAACTCGTGCTGAGTTGAGTAGCCAGCTTCTTTTAGTCTAGAATCTAAAAAAGTCTACTATGCCATGGAGTGGCATTCATTAGTGGTGATAAATTCGCAGTCTTGATGGTTAATAGGCTGGGGCACATTGAGGCCACTAGGGACTGGAACTGAAGACACTAGACTGGAATTTTAAAAAAGATGATTTTATTTAATACTGTCGACTTAAAATTGTGTAAGGCCACCTTTATTCTCATGTCGCATGCGAGTCTTTTGGCTATTCTCACCCGGTGTGCGTTCACCGTTATAGCCTAGATTTAGGCCAACCAATTTTGCGTTCACCCTGAACCACAGAATTCTGCACTATGATAGCAGAAAAATTGTAGAATTCTGTGCCGTGAACAAACGTTCCATTACTACTGTTAGCCTAAAAGCGTACAATTTTGTCTGTGGGCAGATGTCGATTGTATTTTTATTCTCACCCCGGGTGAGGATAGCCACTTCTTTTGTGTAAACACAACTTCAGTGAAAAGGTACAGAAACTTTCTTATTTTCATTATATATGTGGCGTCGGTGGCCTTGTTGTTAGGCTCTCGGACTCGTAACCGTAAGGTCATGGGTTCGAATCCCGTCAGGTACCCGACGTTGTGTCCTTGGGAAAGGCACTTTGCACAAATTTTCCTCACTTCACCCAGGTGGAAATGGGTACCAGGCTATAGACAGTGAACGATCTTGTCAGTTTGATAGTGTTTGAGCACTGTATGCTTCCTCGGAAGCCGAGAATGTTTCAGAGTGTTCTCAGAGGGTCTGCTGGGGTAATAATATAGTTGTAAAGCGCATAGAACATGCTCTTGAGCATGAATATACGCTATATTAATGCAATTATTATTATAGATCTAGAGGCCTAATGTCAAAAAACCCCAAAAAACAAGGGGGAAATGGGAAGTGGCGGTTTGTGTATAGAGATGACCTGACCAATAGAGCAGGTTCGACTGTAACTTCCATTACCAGACAGTTCAGTCACTGGATAGTTCCGCATAAATTATTATATAAAGTCTCAAAATACTCAATTTTTTAGATTTGTGCAAATGTTTATTAAACGTTCCTGTTCTATTGATTAATTAATTGATGCAAGTTTGCAAATTGACTTGTGACGGGTGCTTTTTTGAATGAGAGATATGCTGTGCACAGAGTATCGGGACGGTGGAAAAAAAAATTGAAAAATCCTGAACATATTCAGGTTTTTAAAGTTATTTTTTACTGTCTCCTCTATAGCAGGGGGGTTTCAGGAAGGTCAGTCTCATAATGATAATTAAGATTGTTGCCTGGTTTGGTTAGACTGAAGATTTCAAGATTGAAATGTCTTGACTTTTGAATTTATCATTTAATCAAATTTTAAAATCTTTCTTGTTTTGATTTGCAGACTGTAGCAGATATTATCCGAACATGTCTGGGTCCAAGGTCTATGTTGAAGGTATACATGTCTTTCTTATAATGTTTTTACTTTATGTGAGAGTTTTGTATCGTATCTTTTGCTTTGGCTTTGGTGCTTTTAAGAGTATGTGTGATCCACAACTAGTTTTTCCTTGTAACCAAGTATGTTTTCTAGATATATGATGCGGGTTGAGGTTGGCTGGCTGTTTACAAAATGGTCTGGATTTGTGATTACTATCTTTTATAATAACTTAGTGAACTAAGATATGACCGGGAGCATGAGTGCAGAATGTCCTCTGGGCAAATGGCTGGAGTCAATAATTTGACCATGAAGTGCCTACAATCATAAGAGGACACATGAAATGCCAAGATTAATCTCAGCCTTTGTCACATACAGAGTGCTGCTTCATGACTTGGCGACATATTTTTTGCATTTTTGTTTTGTTTTGTTTGTTGGCGTATTATATTCAGTTGTTGGGGGGGGAAAAATCTTAATTGCATAACCGGGAAGAGTGTTAAAAGTACATCTTTTTTGTTGTTTATCCCTTTTCAGATATATAGCAATCTTCTCGTCTTAATGGTGTACTGTTGTTTGTTTCTAATAAGTATAATATCACGACTTTCTTGTTCCTATGACTTTTTGGGTGATTCCTTTTTTCGTTGTGATTTTGAGGTAGTTTGTTGCGAAAGAAATTTTGTTTATATCATTGTCTGAAATATAAAATTATTTTTACATTCCATTTTTTAATGCTTTTCTTTTTTGCTTCAGATGTTGATGGACCCGATGGGAGGCATTGTCATGACAAATGATGGAAATGCTATCTTGAGAGAGGTATGTGAACCAAATGCCTGATATCAATGTTGCTGTAAAAATTTTATTTAATATTGAAATTAATTGGCTCTGATACTTCTTTTTAACGATGTAGACGACTTGGGGGAAAAAGTGACTCTTTTTAAACTGAGTTTTTCAAATGTTCACTACTCCAGACCTGCCACTCATCCCGATTTAATCGGGATATCCCGATTTTTTTTGCCCCAAATCTCAAGCATCCCGATTTTCCCGATTTCGATCGCCAGTATCCTGATTTTTCGTGGTTGTGTCTGTTGCGTCCGATTCTTAGAAAAAAATATTAAAAGTTCTGCAATCTCTTTTGCTTCGAAACACCGATTGGACTTTTTATCTGCAGGAACTTGGAGCGCTATTTTTTAAAGCATCTATGCCGAATCTAGGTCTAGTAGATGGCTAACGTACGTTATTTAAACTAAAATCGACCTAGTTTCAAACGCTCACTCGCATCACATGACATGACCTCGTACATGTGGTGAGTAGCGCGTGTGTCGGGGACCGTCGGTTGTCTGGGTCAACAAAGTTCATTCGCACCGGTCGCGTTGGTCGAGATGTTTTTTCGGGACTTAACCAGTGTGGATGGCCGGGGGGAGGGGGTGGGGGTATTGTTTTGACACTTGGGCTTAAAGTGCGTGCCGTGATACAGGTACTAAGGGGAAAGGAATAAGAAAAAAAAATGAACAACCTTGGCGGGATCTTTTTTTCGATGTGATGGAAGTCAAACTTTGTTTTAAAACGCGGGCGTTTTGCATGGATGATTAGAGTTACGTGTCAGCTATTTTCAAGACTACGAGTGTTTCAGCATCACTGCGACCTTCGCTCCCCCAGTCTATCTAACTTCGACTCGAGTACATATATGCTGTCAAAGTTTTGCCTTGCATACTTGCCTCTTAAAAGGGAACCAGGACACCCCCCCTTCCCCGCCTTCCCCAGTGCCCTTTATGACTGATTTGCCGTTGATCCCGATTTTTTTCACCAGATCCTGATTTTTTAACTCAGAAATCCTGATTTTTAGATTTCATAGAGTGGCAGGTCTGCTTCTCACAAGGTTTAGTTTATTTCTTTATTTAGACTGTTATTTTTACCATAACTCATGCAGTTTTAACACATCTGGTGGGCATTGAATGTCCACCTGGTTAATGACTGCTACATTAAACTTTGTCACGATCACTCCTTGTCATGTATGGCAAAGGGTGCGCACGGCATGGACATTATTTCCAGAACTCTGATGGTTGTTGGAGTAAACTCTGTACAGTTTGTTTTATCTTCTGGTGTATGATTTGTATGAGTTTAAAGTGTCTCTGTGAACTGCATTCCATTTGAGAATGAGCCTGCACAGGATTTGTGTGCTATGGTTACGGGGGGGGGGTGAAGTTCATGAGATAGAGAAGACAACTTAGGTCTTGTACTTCATGAACATTTTGTTCAAAGAACTAATGAGAAAAAATTGTAAGTTTTGTTTTTGTTTCCTAACCTTATAACTTTTTAAAAGGAATTGTTTACTCATAGGTTATTATAAAAGTAAACGGTTATTGTCCTTTTTACCAAGTTGAAGGAAAGGCTGAATTGATCATGGTTGAACAAATTGCCAATACAAGGCTGTCTTAATAAAATTGTTTATATTTTGTGATGACTTGTTGGATTTTGTTTTGAAAATCTCCCTTGGAGGAGGAAGAGGAATATCTCACTCTAAAGATAATCTAAGTCTGTATCAAAATGTGGTTAGCTTGCTATTGAGTTTGATGGTAGTCTGTTTGAAAGATTTGGTCATGAAGTGGTGTAAACAGAGTTCTGTGAATGCTTGCTTTGACCTGTCCCTTTGGTAAGGAATAAAAAGTTGTTGTGTCATTCCAGCTGAATGTGCAGCATCCAGCTGCCAAGTCGATGATTGAGGTTGCCAGAACACAGGATGAGGAGACTGGAGACGGCACCAAATCTGTCATCATTCTGGGTAACCACTCTGTTTCAAGTTGTCTTGATTCAAAAAAAAAATTTGTTGTGATTTTCAGTGAATATTTCATGTCATTTTTCTTGCTTTGACATTTATTTTTCTCATAAGTTTGTGTTGCTCAGAGTCTGTGTAATTGTCCACCTGCTTTTGCCAGTTTATTCTCCAGTGCAGTGTTTATGAATGTTTGTCATTGTCATACACTTACTTTTTTTTTCAAATCTCTGTCTGTCGTCCTTTAATGTCTGTCATTGTGTGCACCAGCATCTCCCTCAAATCTTTAATCTATGGTTTTGGTACTCTTTTCTAAATGTCAGGCAGTGCTTTTAGTTCTCCGTTTGTTGTTTTGATTTAGTTAAATTTACTGGTGTCCATAGTACTAAATGTTGATCATTACCGTTACCCCTTTGTGACTGAATGCTTTGTTCTTAACCCACAGCTGGTGAGGTTCTGTCAGTGGCAGAACAGTTCATCCGCCAACAGATGCACCCAACCATTATCATCGCTGCCTACAGGCAATCTTTGGAAGACATATTGGAAGAACTGAAAAACAAAGTCGCGTGAGTATTTATCACTCTGAAGGACGAGGGTAGGGGCACAGGGTGAAAGATGAGCGAGAACACAGTTTTCCATTACTGTTCTCGTGTTATAAATGAAGACTTTGAGGGCAGTTGTTCTTTGCAGGTAGACAGACATTCATGTGTCCACCACGTATGATTTCACGACTGCCACATTGAACTTTGTCACGATCACTCCTTGTCATATAAGGCATGGGGTGCGCACGGCATGGACATTATTCACACAACTCTTACAGTTGGGGTATACCTTCGTACTGTTTGAAATTCAAACTAATAATGGTATTGTATTTATGATGCTTTGCTGGTGCTGAGTTTTGTGGCTTTAGGTGATTTATTTTATTTGCAGATGTTGGGCTCATGATTTTAAAAGTAATTTTGGAAAAATGAAGGATGAAGTATCTCATCACAGCATAAGTGTGATTTGGAGTTGTAAAAGAATGTTTTGATATTCTTTGGTACCTTTGCAGTTAGGTAGTTGAAAGATAGATCTGTTCTTTTGAGAATGTAATTTTCAAAATGTGCTATTCACATTGCCCCATCTAGTTTTTAGGGTTTTTGGTCAGGCGTCCAAAACATTTGTAAGAAGTTTTAAAGTTTTATATTCACATGCTTGGTGGTGACTTTCCTGTTTCCACATCACATTCCATCACTATTGTAGGTACCCTCTTGGTTTTGATCCTGGTCAGGGACATAAGGACTTCACATAGTTCATGTAAACTTGTGCTTGCTCAAAGTATAATGATTGCTGAGCACTGCTGTTTTTTTTTTCTTCATTTACTTGTTCTTTGTATTCATTTGGATGTAAATAGTGCCGTAACATTTTTAGTTAATGTTGAATTTGCTAATTGGCTCTGATACTCTTTTTAAAGATATAGACTTGAAAAAGGTGTTATGGTTTTTACTGAATTTTTCAAATGTTAACTATTCTCAAATTTTATATCTTTTTATTTACACCGATACTTTTATGTTTCTCCTCGTTCATGCAGTTTAACACGTCTGGCAGGCATTGATTTGTCTACCTTGTTAATGACTGCTACATTAAACTTTGTCACGATCACTCCTTGTCATATGGCAAAGGGTGCGCACGGCACAGACATTTTTTACACAACTGTAGTTGCAGTTTGTTTTTCCAAACAATATGCACATAGTTTTGAGATCTTAGTTAGTGGTGGGTGGTTTTGGTTGCTTTGAATTTAGTTTCTCTTTTCTTGTTTTTCAGTCTTTTTTTAGTTCAAAAGGAATAGAAGTGTCAAGGGGGCTTTGGATAGACTGGGGTTTTAGAAATTTACATCCTTATTGCAGGGGGGAGTAGTGGATTAAGTATATTGCAGTGGAACTTGTCCAAGACAACTTAATATTGTTGGGGAGATAGGTGATCATCTATGACAGGTGATCCTCCTGGACAGTGTTATTTTAATGTTTAAAAAATGCAAGTGGAGGGGGTGGGGGAATGGAAAGTGGTCATTTTTACAGGTGATTGTCTTGCACACATGGTCATAAGAGCATGTTCCATTGTATTTGGAAATTTACAATCCCTTCAGTTGACTTTCCTTTACCTTGTTTCATGTTGATTGTATGTCCTGAAAATTTACATGAGTCCCATGCATTTAAATCTGGGCATCGCGAAATCTTCTTTGCACTATGTTTTTAAAGTCAAGTTCATTGTTGTAGTAACCTATTTATGGACATGGGTGAACATAACTTGGAATTTAAAAGTGACCTACTCCTGTTTGATACGCATTGCAAAAATGATCTGCTGCTATTAGTCTGCTTCTTTTGCTGTATCGACCTCATTGTGACTGTCAGTGTTGCTGTGAACTTAATACTTATTTAAAAAATGTTTAATTTATTGTGGTTTTGATATGGTTTGTAGAAATTATTATTCTTTCATGGTTTATATTTTCCATGTTTCCTGTTTCGCATCATGAAAATTCTATTTTTGGCTGTCGTGCTAATTGTGGAAAATCAGTGGTGCAACATAAACTTCTAGGACAACCAAGATTAATGTCTTCATGGATTTTAATCAAATATCCTAGATACATGTAACATGCATGCTGATTATACATCTTCTGGCAGATGGAAACCGGCTCAGTGTGTTGATTTATGTGCTTTGTTCAGTTTGATTTGTGCGTGAAGGATTTGTTCTGGGTCCGTTTCATATCCCTGATATTTCTGTCGTGTCATTTTTGCCTTTAATTTTTTAACTCTTCATCATTGATATGGTACTAATGTTCTTTTCTCCACTTTTAAAATATTTGTCACAGTGGGTGTTACTCTTTGTAATAATAAATCATGTACTCTGTACTGGACTTGTCCTTCTCTCCTCAGTGTGCCCGTGGATGTGACCAACAAAGAAGAGATGATGAAGATTGTAAAGAGCTGTCTTGGAACAAAGTTCATCAGCAAATGGTACAACTTGTCTTCAGATTTATGGCTGTTTTTGTGTCTAGTGCTGAGAACATTCTATGCATTGTATTTGGTTTTGTTGTTGTTGGAATTAACTTGGTCTTTTCACTCAGTACTAAAAGTGAATTTGAGTTAACATTCATTATATTCAAAGAGAACAAAAGTATTCTGAGTTAAGCATTTTTAATCCTAATAGAAAACGTTATTTAAATTTGTATAGATTGGTCTGGGGTGGGGAAGGGGGTGCTTTAATTTTGTATTCTAAACCATGGATAAGATCTTTTCAGTCTCCAAATCATTTTATTCTAAAGTGGATCAAGCTGCCACACACTGTGTGTTGCATGTATTACAGCATTTGGTTATAAACTCTCACCTAAATGTGGCTGTAGAAAGTTATCTAGTGAGTGTGATCGGACCAACTTGTTTTTTTAAAGGCCCCAAAAACTACTTGCCACAGTAATTGTATATTTGTTTCACGTCGACTATCAGTTAATGTTGTCTTGTGTGTCGTCCCTCCCCAGGATGGACCTTGCATGTCAGATTGCTCTCGATGCCACCAGCACAGTTGTTGTAGAGGAGAACGGGAAGAAAGAGATTGATATCAAACGATACGCCAAAGTTGAAAAGGTTTGTTTTTTCTTAGTTTGAGAAAAAGCTTTGTTTAGTGATTACGGGCTAGCTGTTTTATTGACATGATTGCTGGCGGTTTGCTCTTCAGCTGAAAGAAGTTTGCAGAAGGGTAGGCAGAATTTTTTTTTGGGAGGAGTTCATAGGAAGATTATTTAGTTATTTTGAAAGATATGTTTAGCTGCTATGTTTTGATAAAGCACTGTTGCTTTGTTATATCTCCTTGTGTTTAATGTAATGTTTGGGGAAACAGTGGGGAAAGCATTTTTAGAAAACCCATTGAAAACTAACATACGTGGGACAGTAATGGGAATAACAAAAGCTTAAATTAGATGTCCTCTGGGCAAATGGCCGGAGTCAATTATTTGACCATGAAGTGCCTACAATCAAAAGAGGACACATGAAATGCCAAGATTAATCTCAGCCTTTGTCACATACAGAGTGCTGCTTCATGACTTGGCGACATAACTTTCTGGGGTGTTCTTTGTGTTGTTAATTTGTTTGTTATCTAATAGGAATAGAAACCGCTCTCCTGGATACTGCCTCTTAGGTAAATTATTCTACTCACTGGTAGAGTCTTAGTTACTTTCCAGAGTCCCAAAAAAAAGAGAAGGCTGTAACTGCTTCGCTTATTACACCTTATGGCTTAGTTGGAACAATTTCAGAGAAAATGCTGCCTTTCAGAATCTATCAAGGCAATCTCTAAGTGATTATCTGCCTGCAGCTGTTACAAGATGGTGTTCAATTATAACATAATTTCCTAATGTACTCAGTGCCAGCAGTCAGTATAATATACTTTCCCTCTTATTTTTCTGTGAAGGAAATGCACTGTTTAAATCTAATCTGTTTGGCAGGATTCATAACAAATTTGTCTCTTTGGGTTTTCAATGGATTCCTTCTACATATTATGGCCAGTCGTGTGTACGTGTGTGGAGTGACAAAAAAGCTTTTGTATTTCAAAAGTCTTGAGTAAAACAGTTGCAAATATTAGTTACATACAAAACTCCTCCCCTTTTTATAGTAGTTTTTTTCCCTTTGCACCGCTGCATTGTGGTACCATTATATGGTGCAAAAGAAACAAAACATCTAGATTGAAATGCAGATGCATTTAGAATTTTAAACTTGCGACCCGTGAGTCCCTTTTAAAAATATATTTGGCTCTTACAATATTGAGAAATGGATCTTTTCATATGCTGTATGATTTGCAGTCTCCCTGCTTGTACTTGGTGTTTGCAGCAGTCTTTTTAAAACAGATTGGAAAGGTGTGGAGGCAAAGTTAAAGTTGAATGAATTACTGGCTTGATTTTTTTATTTTAATTTTTTTGTGTGTGAATTTTTTGTCAATGTCCTCTGGGCAAAAGGCTGGAGTCAATAATTTGACCATGAAGTGCCTACAATCAAAAGAGGACACAGAAACTGCCAAGATTAATCTCAGCCTTTGTCACATACAGAGTGCTGCTTCATGACTTGGCAACATGGCTTGGGTTGTTTTTTTTGGGTCTAAAACAAAGGAATTAAGAAAAGGTATAATTAGTTGCTGCTTCTGTAAATGTTCTAGCAAGTCCAATTGTTTGTAGAAAGTCAGAAAAGTAGTAGAATCAAGGTGCATAAGGGAATATTGAAGTGATCGTCGTCAGTGGTCCTGCTGCAAGGTGAACTAGTGAAAGCAAAACAGGACTTTTTTATACTCAGCCATCTTGTTTTCAATTCGCTAGCATATCTGACCATTACAGCCAGTTTTCTTCCCCCTCCTTTAGGATGAGAAAAGTGGTTCATTTTGTGGTGCTTCCACACATAGTCCTTGTTCGCCTCTGAGGATGTATTGTAAGCACCAAGTGAATATTCCACTTGATCTATTTTATTTTTGTGAAAGTTAGTGCCTCTCTGAACAGTTTGGTAGCCAGGAGGAGTATCAGTAGTGTTTAATATCGATCCTTATACATTTGTATGTTTGTCATGGTGTAATACTTTCTTTCAAATCAGATTCCTGGAGGTCTTCTGGAGGATTCCAAAGTTTTGAAGGGAGTGATGATCAACAAGGATGTTACTCATCCTAAAATGAGGAGGTATGTATCTTGTATTTTGTTTTCTCTTGTCATTCCTTTTTTGTCATTTGTCATATTTCTTACACTAAACATGGAACAATGAGGAGACATCAGCTGTGGTCTCTCTTTGTTCAATTAGTCTTTTTTTTTTGGGGGGGGGGGTGGTTTGAGTGTAGGCTGACCTTTCGGGATATCTATAAACAAGAGGACAATAGTGTAGACAAAGGACGTGTTCACTACATATGTTACAGAAGCGTTCAGCAGTAGATTTAGCCTGCACAGGTCAGTTGTATGTATTGTATTGTGGTCAAAGTGATGTGTCGGGCAAGCTTTACCATTAGCATGGAGTGCAGTTGATTATACATTCTGCAACAGGTGAAGTTGAAGGTCATGTTATATTACATAAATAACATTTTGTGCTTCAATTAGTGTGCACAGCACCAATATAAAAAATTGAAAATTCACATTTTCCCTTACCGTGTGGCGTTTTTTTTCTTCTATTCTATGGTTTTTAAGTTTAGGTCTTTGTTTATCAAAAACCGCAATATTTGATCATTGTCAACAAAAAAAAAGATGCAAGGTTTAAGTCAACACCACAGAGAAATCGAACCATTGGCATGCTCTCCGCATTTTTGCTGTTGCCAGAATATTCAAAGTTAAACGTTATTGTGGTTTTGGTTAAAAGACTTGATCGAAAACAGAGAAAAGAACAAATCTGCCACATGTTCAGGAAAAAATGCTAATTTTCTATTTTTTTATGTTAGTTTTGTGAAGATTAATTGAAGCACCAAAATTTTATTTTTATTACATGATATACTTTTTAGACTACTTAGTATTGTTCATGTGAAAGGAAAAGCATGATGACTCGAATGGCTAGATTTCATAAGCAATGAAAAAGTGGTAACTTTTTTTTTATCGCCAGTATAGTGTACGTCTTTCTTTGGGAAACTAAAGTTGATATTTTTTCTCTGGAGAAAGGTTTGATGTAATAATTATGCCTGTTCTTTGAAGCAACTGCTATGACAATGGGATTTTTCTCTGTTACTGTTTGCAGGAGGATTGAGAACCCACGTATTTTGCTATTGGACTGCAATCTAGAGTACAAGAAAGGCGAGAGTGTGGTAAGTGCAGAGACCTGCATCAGTTAATAATACAACTACTACTAATAATAATTAAGAGCACATGTGTAGCACATATCCCTGCTGGACAGCAAAATCTACAATCCTTTCTGTTCCACTTTTTTGTTGGGGTGTGGGAGGGGGGGAGTAATGCCTTTGATTATAATTAAGTTTTGCCTGTTGTGGTTTACACATAGATATATATCATATATCAGGCCGAATGGCTAGAACCCAAATGGCCGCTGGATCGGAAAAGTAAAGTAAGTATAACATACATAGTATACAATGCAGGTTTGGGAGTTTCAGCTTTTTTTTTTTTGGTCAAGTTTCTTTGACATGTGTGAAGCATGCTGACAAAACGAGTTGCTTCTTGGAATTTGCCTGCCGTATGGAAATTGATATCAACTTTATAGGTGGAGTTTGTACAATTTGTAAATATGGAATAATAAAAGACACAGTAGACTTTAACAAAATGGCATCAATTGAAAATTCATAAGTCTGATCCCAGTGTTAATTTTCGACCTATATCTCCAATCTCAGATTGCGAGAAGTAACTCATTTTATCAGCACGCCTCACTTATCGTAATAGTTTTTAGGGGAGTATTGGAGAACTAGTTACAAATAACTTAATTTTATGTTTTCAAAATTGGCGTTGATCTTGTGTATGATTTTTAAAGTGTTTTTTATTATTTGCTTTCAGACAAACATTGAGATCTCCCAAGAACAAGATTTCTCGTAAGTGTTTCTGTATTTTATTAATTATCGGTAAATATGTTGGGTATGAGATATGCACACACGGAACTAATTTGATAGTGAATATGTCCTCTGGGCAAATGGCCGGAGTCAATAATTTGACCATGAAGTGCCTACAATCATAAGAGGACACATGAAATGCAAAGATTAATCTCAGCTTTTGTCACATACAGAATGCTGCTTCATGACTTTGCTACATACAATATTGTTTTGACTGAAAGAAGCTGAAAAGATATCTTGATTGTTGTCTCTTAGTAATATAACTTACATTCCTGTTTAATTCATTTTGGTTTAAGTGGTGAAAGTGTATCCCTAGTCCATTATTGGTATACATAGCACACCGGAACACAAAGCACTTTCCTAAGCAGTGTATAATATATATAAATGTCAAATTATGTTTCCCTTCTTTAATAATGAAGACAGTGCATTATTTTGCAAAACTTATTTTGACTTTTCACAAATATTTGCTTTTGGTTTAATAAGTGCATGTGCTTACTGCAGGGGTGTTTGGTGATGTTAGTATCAATGTCTTACTAAATGGACAGACTGAAGAGTGCTTTCCTTCATCAATGACCTAAAGTTATTGATAGAATTTGTCATTCTAGAAGTGACTATATACTTTGACTCTCTTTGTGTGAATTTTCAATTGCCCATTTGTGTATAATGTCATTGAATTTATTTCATGAGGTGATTATTTGTTGGGGGGGGGGTAGGGTTATCAAAATGTTTGGCACTGAAAAGCATAATATGAATACTTGTTCAGCTATGTAGGGCTTGCATTCTCAATGGTATTGTTTATGACTTCTGCAGCAAAATCTTGAAGCTTGAGGAGGAGTACATCGAGAAGATCTGTAAGGAAATCATTGCCTTCAAGCCAGACTTGGTGATCACAGAGAAGGGCGTGTCAGACTTGGCCCAACACTACCTGGTCAAGGCTAACATCAGTGTGATCAGACGCGTGCGCAAGTCGGACAACAACAGAATTGCCAGGTTTGTGCCAGCGAAAGCTTTGGGCAAGTTTGTCCTGCTGCTCCACCCAGCACCCACCACTATTCTCTGTTTATCAGAGAAACTTTATTGTCATGGGTGGTTGGCGGGTACTTCTTTCCTCTCAAACATCTGTCCTGCTTATTTTTTGTGTGTGTTACTCTCTTATAACATCTCGAATCTTCAGCACTTATGTGTTCGTATTGCGTTGCAAGTGCTGTAAAACTCTTACTAAGACTAAACAAAAACTTTTTAATCGCTATTTTTGTTAGAGATGAAGTCGATATGTTCTGTGGTATATTTTATAGATGTTAAGACACAAATCAACTGCTCAGTGTAAGACTGTCATGTCACTTTTTAAAAGGGCGTATGGTGGAGTCTTGCACTTAGCAGTAGAAATGTATTTGTCATTTTATTTGGAATTTTGTGGTCTGTTCCTCAGGGCTTGTGGAGCCACCATTGCCAACAGAACTGATGAGCTCCGTGAGGAAGATATTGGAACTGGCTGTGGACTGTTTGAAGTTGATAAAATTGGAGACGAGTAAGTCATCTAGCTCGAGTGTGTTTCGTATAAGCTGGTGTTGGACTGATAAAGTAGCAGTTTTGGGTGCCTTTGAGAGCTGATGGTTGATAGAAAGTCCACTGGTTAGATACATGCCTTTGTTACTGCTGTGTGAGTCTGGTGTATTTGACTTTTGCCCTTTGAGAGTAATCACTCCAACTTTATTTATAAAGCTACATTTTGTTATTGTATGTAGGGTTCTCAGTATAACTTGTATTAAAGGTTTTATTTCAATACTGGGCAGTATGCTTAAATCAAACACGGTTATTCTGAAAACAGCAGCAAACCAAAGGAGAATAGAAACCCCATTTTTTGTTTTTACATTTTTTTTCTTCCTATTTTAGCAACCTCTCTAAACTAAAGAAAATCTGGGGGTCCTGTAGATTTTGGTTCAAGTTGACTGCTATATTTTAACCTCTTGTTTCTTGTTTTCAACGTCAGTGTTTTGAGAGGTCAGTGGGTTGATAGGGATACTGTAGTGTTTTCTTTTTCCTGTCTTCCCTCTTTTAATTATTTTTCCTTCTCTTTCCAGCTTCCACCTTGTTTGTCAGTTTGACTAAAAATGACAATATTTGGGGGGGGGGGGGGGGGGGGGAAATGTGTTGTTGGTGATGGTGGTGTGTATTTTCATCTCTTATTTAAGATTTGCGGGTGATTGGAGGACACCACTGGTAGGTCGTTCACTTTCCCTCTTGTCTCTGTCTGTCTGTCTTACTTTTTCCCAGCTCTGAATGATCATTATTGTGTTAGTGTGCTTCTTTATACTCAAACAAACAAAAATTATTTAAGATATCTCTGAAATAGAGCAGCTTGTTATGTGAAAATTCTCAACACCTTTGTTCTGTGTAGGTACTTCACTTTCCTGACGGAGTGCAAGAACCCCAAGGCCTGTACCATCCTGCTGCGTGGCGCTAGTAAGGATGTGCTGATGGAGGTGGAGAGGAACCTGCAGGATGCCATGAACGTGGCTCGCAATGTTCTCATCGACCCCTATCTGGTGCCCGGAGGAGGCGCCGCTGAAATGGCTCTGGCACAGGTAAGTCGCAGCTCACAGATAAAATACAGTAGAACCAACTCTAACGGCCACTTGTACAGGACAATTGCCTGTACAAATGGCCACTTCCCATTTCCTTCCTTGAATATTTTTTACAATATAAAGACATTGCGTAAGTTGGACCTGTCGAATACGGCCACTTTTTTCCTCGACAATGGCTTACTGTCTGAGACAGTTTCTTGTGTACATGTTTAAGGAGCATACAGTAGAGTCGGCTTAAACCGAAATATGTAAAGCTATGTATAGAAGATATTTATACATATAAACATGTACAGACCTCAGCCGTCAAAGTGGATGTTTTTGTGCCAAGTTTCTTAGCTCATTCAGGATGTAATTTTTTTTTCAGCAGTTGAAACCATTTGGACATTTAGTTTATGACGCTGCAAATCATTTTGAAAGTGTGGATATAAAAAGGCTTTTACATATACCGTATGTTCACTGATGTTACAGTAGCACAATAGAATGGAAATAATGCAACTAACTTTGGACCCTGTTAAAATCGTCGATATATGGGCGATATGTCCAAAATTTGTTCTCAATAAGTTTAGGATATATCAGCGATATTCACACTGTTTTTGGTTTTGACCTGTAGGTATTTTTTTGTGGCTTTCCCCTTGATTTATCATGTTGTGGTGGTCTAAACCTGCTTAACTGTGCTCATGCAACCCCTCTAGCACCATCAAATCTAAAAGTTCTTAGAAAAACTAAAAGAAAATTGAGCTGAGTTTGTTGTTGTATCATTACAGGCACTGAACGAGAAAGCAAAGAGCATCACAGGTGTCCACCAGTGGCCGTACCGTGCGATCTCACGGGCCCTCGAGGTCATCCCAAGGACTCTGATCCAGAACTGTGGAGCCAGCACCATCCGCACCCTAACTGCCCTCAGGGTAAATTTGTGGTTTCGCCTTACCGAATAAAGCTCAACCTTAGAAATGATTTCAGCTGCTTAGTGTGAGACACCGCCGTACACCATTTCCAAAAATGACCTGTGGCAGAGTCTTACATTGAGCTGTTGATTTGTATTGTTAATGTGATTTTTGTGAATGGGCAGGAAAACAGGGCTTGGGTTTGTTGTTTGTGTGTTGAGTTGTGGTTTGTGTGGGCCACCATTGTACTTGATGGGTGGTTGGTAGGTGCTCTGGTATGGTTTGCTCCTTCTTTCCAATCGAACATCCATTGTTCTTATCTCTTAACTTTTCTTTGTATGTAACTTTCTTGTAACACCTTTGATCTTTAGCACTTATATGACCTATTTGTGTACAATTGCAGTGCTCTTACTTAAACAAAACCTAAAACCCATTGTACTTACTTCTGTCTATTATAGAGATGTTAACGTACATGTTTGTCATGAAGCTCTGAAGTTCTGTTACAATTAGCAATCTGTCATCTATTATATATTTTGTTCAGTTTATTTGTACCATTTGAGGGTTTGTTTAGAAGCGCATCATGAAAATTCTGTCTTTAGCTGACGTGCTAATTGCGGAAAATCAGTGGTGCAATAAAAAATGCTGAGACAACCAAGATTAATTAATTTTAAAAAAATATTAATCAAATATCTCAGCTACATTCTTTGCTGTCTGAAAGTGGCTCGTCAGTCATCCATGTCATGTAGTTCAATGTTTGTGTTTTGCTTGTCTGTGCGTCTAAACACTCGAGCACAGACTTTTTAAAGTTACGATTTAAAGGTCTTTAGGTAGTCGTTAAACTTTTGTATAGAGATTCATGCTTGACTCGCAATCAGGTGATTGACAATGTTTTTTTTTTGGGGGGGGTGGTTTGTTGTCTTGTCTTTTATATTACCTGAAACAAACCATTTGTGTGTATGTGTTCAGGCAAAACATGCCCAGCCCAACAACTCTACCTGGGGCATTGACGGCAACACCGGCACCCTTGTGGACATGAAGACCTTTGGTGTATGGGAGCCTGTCTCTGTGAAACAGCAGGTCTACAAGACAGCAGTTGAGGTGAGTAGGGAACAAGGCTGCTTATATGTAGGCCTACTGATTTTTTTTGGTAGTTACCGATTTTGGACCTGTTCTACTGCCGTACCGGTAAAGGTGTCAAAACTACTGGATTTGCAATGGGCCCCGAGAGTTAAAAAGAAGTGAGGATGGGAGGTGTTCTGCAGTGCTTCCAATTTTCCCTTTTTTTTTGGGGTGGAAAACGGTACATTCCAAAAGTTAGGTACAGGTGCTCTACATAGGAACGCTGTGCCGCACAGCGCTCTAATCATAAGATTTGCTTCCTGGTCTTACAAAGGCCCGAAGGTTTGGTGTATGTGGGGGGGGGGGGGGGGGGTTAGAAATTGAAATTTAGAGTTTATTTAGAGCTAGGTACAGGTACTGTGATCAGAAGAAAGCCGTAGAATAAGTGTGAAGAAAAAAAAAAGCTTTTACTGTTATTAGTTTTAAAGTTTAACAACTGTTTGTGGTTTGTTTCCAGACGGCCATCCTGCTGCTGCGTATCGATGACATTGTCTCAGGAGTGAAGAAACAGGGCGCTGATGGCGGTGGCGCCCCCTCTGGTCCCCCGCCACAGGCCTCTGAGGGCCCCGAGCCTTGATGGATGTTAGCACTTAGCGCTCACTGCATGATGATTTCATTTGTGTTTGTTTTTACACATTTGCCTCTGGGTTTCTTTGTAGCTGTGCTGCTTGTGTGTTTATTCATCCAGTGGTTTTTTTTGGAACGTAAGAGTGTGCCTGTGAGAATGTATACTGTGATGTGTTTTATACTTGTACAATGACTCAGTAGGAACAGACATTAAACCTTGTATGTAAGGTTAACTTGGAAGCTCAGCTTCGTAGACCTGTATATATGAATACTTATAACGTAACTTTATTCAGAGCAGAAGAACAGAGAATGCTGAAGCATTGTGGCTCATGTAGAACTCATCATGTTTTCTACTTTTTAATACGTGTAATACAAGCGTTTGGTTGCCCAGTGTTCAAGTGATAGGGAGTCATTTGGAAGGCATTAGTGTGAATGTCTGTGTGGCTTTGAATATCTTAAAACTTAAAAGTTTTCATCATTTTGACAATAATAAACTCTTTTGAGTGAAAAGTTCTGTTTTTCTTCCATCCATCTCTTTTTTAAAACATTTGTCTCTTATGATGGGTGTGTTAAAATGTTCTGATGAAAGTGAAGGCCACCTGGGTTTAATCTTGGCAGGAGCTTTCCCTCCAAGGAGTGATTGTAGTTTTAAAGGCTTCTCTGCTGTGTTCGAAGATGGATGGTTATTATTGATATAATTTCTAGGTCCCCAGTCTTTTCTGTCAAATTTTGTCATAAGGTTTTATTTGAGAAAGGAAACAATACTTCATAACTTCAGGTCTTTACTGACTCTTTGCAGCAAGGATATCTTTGTTAGACTTTTCCTCCCACTAGAAGATCAGGAGTGTGGCTGAAAGACTGCGGTAAGAATGAGCCCAGGAGTTGCAATAGAAAGGGTGCAGAGAGTCTGAAGCCCAGAGGAGGGGGTGAAGGGTTAGGGCAGAAAGTGGAGACAAAAGCAGACGCCAGAACATTGCTAGAGAGCAGAAAAATAGTGAAAGGAGACCATTTTAGATAATAAAATTTTTCGGTCGCTACCCGGATTCGAACCCAGGACCTTTGAATGAGAGGCCAACACCTTAACCTCTTGGCCACGAGAACCCCTAGACTGATCTAATTCTTAGGTGTTGCGGAACATTATTATTGTGGTAACTTTTCACTTCAAGCTTAGGGTTTAGCACCCCTGTCGACACTGTCAAGCTATTTAAGAGGTAAGACTAAACTAAATGGCTAGAGAGTAGAGCCTTGAAAACTACACAAAACAAACCGAGTTCAACAAAGCTCAGTCTGGGATTCGAACGGGCCATCCGCTCTGTAGTCCAGCATGAAATCAACTGAGCTAACGGAGCATCAACTTCAAGGTCAAGCTTGACATCTCATGTGACACAGTTAAGATAGCTATTGAAAGCACCTCATTTGCCTAGCATCTCCAGTGCACCCTGTATTACCTTCTGCTTTTTTTCCTGTTACCACGACTTTGAGCTTCCTCTTAGCTCAGTTGGTATCTATTATCATCTTTAGCAGTAATTGCTGCGATGCAGATGGTCCCCAGGTTTGAATCCCCAATAGTACATTTTGTTGTTGGCGGGTGCTTTGGTGTGGTTGGCTCTTTCTATCCTACCAAACATCTATTGTCCCGATCAATCTCTCCTCTTTCTTTCTTGTGCTTGTTACTCTCTTGTAACACCTCTAATCTTCAGCAGTTTTATGACCTTATTGCGTTGCAAGTGCCGTAAAACTCGTACTGAAACTGAAAAAGAACATTTTGAACTTTGTTTGGGGAGCTTTCAAAATTCAAGAATCCACCCACTTGAATTGCTTTGATCCAACTGGAGCCGAGCTCCTGGCAGATCCAGCTGGAAAGCACGAGTCACTGGGCAGAAAATCATGAGGCTTCACGAATCAGAAATGCTGGGTCCAGGAGAGACAGAGGAGCCCGCAAGCTGCGAACATCCACAAGCGAAAGTGAAGCATTTAAATAATTCAAAATGTGGCAATTTCTTCTTTGCCAGAATTGGTCTCATGGGCAACAGCAAAAGTCATAAGTCATCGGTAACCTTTAATGCTTCTATTCTTTTTCTATTTCTCTCTTGTTTTTTTTTTTTGGGGGGGGGGGGGGGGGTAAGTGTTAAGGGCACTCGCAACTGCATAAGGTCATATGAGCGCGCGGCAGACTAAACATTTTCAGTTGGTACCAAATTTTGAATTTTGCCCGACTGGCGGCCGGAGTCTACTATTATCGATTTTAGACCGCCACGGGATCTTTAACGTACGCAACTTGCTCACGGGACCTCCGAGATTTTTTGCTCTTGTCCGAGAAGGCTAAGTGCAGATCTTTCCTACCAGAAGATCAAGGGTGTGGCTTAAAGAAGACAGCAGTAAGAAGGAGCCAAGGAGTAGCAGCAGAAAGGCTGCAGAAAGTGTTGGAAGCCCAGTGGAGGGGGTGAAGGGGTAGGGCAGAAAGTGGAGACAGAAGCAGACGACAGAACATTGCTAGAGAGCAGGAAAGGAGGCGAAAAGAGACAATTTTAGAGAAAAAAAATTTTTCGGTCGCTACCCGGATTCGAACCCGGGACCTTTGAATGAGAGGTGAACACCTTAACCTCTAGGCCATGAGAGTCCACTCTACTATTTCGCAAGAGAAATATTCCCCTCTGCGGATGTATTGGTCATCGTCAAAATTGTGGACACATTATATAGGAGATCGAAATTAAATTAGGAAATTCTACCTCCAGAATAAGTGTACAGTGTTTGCAGTCGCCGGATCACTCGTTTTCTTCATACCATTTGCCACAGACGTTTCAGTACTCTAAGACAGACGTCCAACAGACGCCAAAGGATGGGCGCTCCGTTAGCTCAGCTGGTACATGTATCATGCTGTCCTTGGGAGCAGGTGGCCCTGGTTCAAATGTTTGACGAGGCGTTCTTGAACTTTGGTCGTTTTATTGAGGTCGTTTTATTGAGTTTTAAGTAGGCTCGGTGCTATCGGAAGTCCTGCCTCTTCTTAACCCTATCCGTACGTCGTGTTTTACTATCGTGTCCAGAGGACGTGGGGAACTTTGTGCTACCACTTTCCAAAAGAGGAAATTTACTTGTTAATCCGATCCGAACGCTTTGCATGGCAGTCTGTCAAAAAGATTGTTTGAGAAATACTGAAAGTTTCATAGAGATCTTCGCACTAAAAGTGTTCTAAAATGTGAAGAATACAACCGCGAGGGTACAAAATGACCCCGGGCCATACGGATAGGGTTAAATAACCTAAAAGTTCTGATAGGGGCGCTAAACCTATACACCTTTAAAGGCCAAAGGATAAAATGTGCGTGATGGAATTTCTGCAAAACATTTTTGTGCGTAGGCCTACTGTACCTAGTTACATAAAATGCGACAGATGAAAAGGCTACATCATATCAGAGGTGCTGACTTTCCTGGACAAATCCGTATTCCTGAAATTGCCCAGCTCTGCCTGACTCCATCTAGGCTAGGGCGATTGTCGCTAAAATAGTCTTGATAAAGATGTCCGTACATTTTAAGTGTGGGCGTTTTCACAAGGTCCTAAAAGTTAAGGATCATTTTCTCCCATAGCCAGTTGGCACCTCTGGCATATTCTACCAATGCCGTAAAAAAAATGAAATGAAATCATCAAATATGTTTGGGGGAGGCTTTTCCCCTTTATGACAATTTATTCATCATAATTCATTCTCAACAATAATTCACAACTGAGCAAACAGCTTTGAAAAAAGAAATAACAAATTATGTATTCATCAACAAAAACAAGGCAGCTGTTAGTGCCTCGATATTGATGGTTTTAAAACTACTGCTGCAACAAACTACAACAAATGGTAATACAAAATCAAATACATGTATGACACTGGATGATAAGTCTAAAATCACACAATGACAAAACTGTAGGTCATCCATTTTGTCGGTGAGCCGTGGACAACGAAAATAAGAGAAATTTACGCATCAACACTATACGTAATATTTTTAAAGTGCAGTCAAAAAGTCGTAGCGTAATTTTGACCACACTAGTCGCACTTCTCTTATTTTCCTTGTCCACAACTCAACAAAGACAAAACTATTGACCAGCTGCTTTGTATTAGTGCAGTACTAGATCTAGACTAAGAATTATCAGTAAAGAGCTTTTGACCGATAAACCTTTAATATCGTTTTCTCCATCCCAGCTAACCATATACATGTGCATGTACCAGGACTATTTGAGCGAGAATATCACAGATGAAGGTCACGGTTTGGACAAAAAGCATGTTTGGAAGTGACATTCGTAGATAACATTGAAGCCTATTGCAAGATCAGCATAAATCTCTCCTCCCCCCACCTGAAAAAAAACCCCCAACGATACTGTTGAACACAAGTGAACATAAGAAATGAATGTTTCATGTAGTTGTATCGGGTAGACGTATATAAAATCTACTTCTTGAAATGATAAACAGTTTTTATCTGTAACAAATAAAGAGAAGCCCACTTGTACAGAGATAAAAGATTGCATGGCACAATTTTAGTCAGGGTAAGACTAAGAGATAAACTTGAATGATAAATGTTTGATAGCGTGACGGTGAGGTCGAAATCTTGGAGTTAGTAGAGTTAAAGGACTTTGTGTATGAGTACGATGCCTGGCACGTCGCCTACGAAGTTTGAGAAATATTCACGATTCTCCTCCTTCCACACGCCCTCAGCCTCCAGCTGTTTCATGAAGGGCTCCAAACCTTCCTCGTACCACGCCACACGGACCGCTTCCTCACGGAACACGTTCACGATGTAGCCCCCTGAAAAGTACAGACATGTGACAGGTATATTCAAGTTCTGTAAATTGATCACAGTATCTGTTAGACCAAGTAAAAAAAAAAAACTGGGGGGGGGGGGGTTACAGGGCGGCATGCGCCCCCAATTTGATATGTTGCCGTTAAATTTGAAATTTTCTTGAAAATAATTGATTTGCAACAGTTTTAGTGGCTATATATATGTGTGATCTGCAGCAAACAATACGCAGTTTGATCCCCCAAAGCAGTGCATCTGTGTACGAGAGTGCGTCTCCGAATAGTTCCGGGGTGCTCGCTGGAGACGTCTCCGAATATCATCTGCCAAATTGATTAACTATTGTCAGCTCATTGCCCGCCTCCACATTCGTCTCCTTTAACTGTTCGTCCACACACAAAACACATTCCACTTTGTGATTCCGCCTCTCAGAAACAAAATACTCTCTCTCTCTCTCTCTCTCTCTCTCTCTGTCTCTCTCTCTCTCTCTGTCTCTCTCTCTCTTTCTCTCTCTCTCTCTCTCTCTCTCCTTCTGGCTCTCTTTTTCTCTCTCTCCCGCTCTTTCTCTCTCACACACAGG